ACCAATAGGACGCGATGGTTTGATACGCTTCCGCTTTAAGGGAAACCTTTAGAGGCAAACGGCTCCGGGGACCGAAGCTAAGCCCCGACTTTTCCTCGGTCTTAGAATCCAAGTCGGCATGGTGGATTGTTCCATAAACCCTGGATAGCCGGCTTATCTCGTACGAAACTCTTGTATGAGAAAAGTTTAGTTAGTATGTACCTACCTTCAAGGTTTGTACTATTGTATTGTACCTAAGGCGGTACGTATTAGTCTGCATTAGTGGCGAAGATACGTGGGATTAGTGGGTTGAACTCTCCTATTCCAGATTCGGTCAACGCCTTTTTACACAATTAGCTAGGGTCGGTCTTGTTTCACTGAGAGACTACTTTGTCATGAAAATACAATTTAGGGACTTGGTCCTATGAAAATAACTGACTAAATTCACTAATAGGTACATAATGACAACTTATGACAACTTATGACAACTTATGACAACTTATGACGTATGTGGGAGAGAGAAGAGGAAGAGAGTTGAACTAGTATACGACTACATACAACTACCTACTAAACTACATACCTCGGCATACTCGGTAGGGAACAACAAAACAATCCCAAGTAAAAGTTCCATGTTCTGAAGTAGTATCAATGTAGCATGCTATCGTCTTAGGTTTGTTATCAGAAGAAGGAAATTGGTCAATGGATGATCCGCTAATACTACATAGTAATATCAATCATTAAATTAAACTACATACTGATACCGTATTATCTAAACACCAAGGATTCCGTAAATAGTCCACACAAATCCGCTAATGCGGTTTCATCAAGATAGGGAAAGATGGAAAGATAACACCAATGAGATCTCACAAATAATGGAACACAAGCCTCAACTTGCTAATACCCCAGATCTTCGGAAACCCTTCTCGAGTCAGAGCTGAAGTCAATTCAAGTTTATCAGATTCCCCGTAACCCCGAGTTTAGTCCATCTTCATCAGGACACATCAGACCGCATCAGACTAGATCACACAGGAGATAACGGGATCTCGGAATGTAACGAGATCCAAAGGCGGTCATACCTATCCGGGGAAAAAGGGGAGACGACTCACGACGAGATAGTGGTAGCATGAAGTACATTAATAGAAACTAAACCTAACATCGATGATAAACCCCATGTCTGCCTACCTAGGTCCTGGTCCTAGAGTCCTAGTAACTAGTTGGTCTTTCCCTAGTTTCAACTTCACTCTTACGCGTCGTACTGCTTAAACAGCTCATCAAACTCCTCCATCCTTATAACAGCGTCGTGGAGACGAGGCCACTCCTGATCATCGGGAAGATCACTCCTCGCCTTTCTCTCGCTCCACCAGCGCCCGAACCTCTCGTACAACTCTGCCACAATCCGAGACCGATATGGTAGTTCCTTTTGCCAGTCCTCCCAATCCCAGCCTACGTCGATAATTTCGTCTGTGCTATGATCGTGTAATTTGATCTCGATGGGGTCTTTATAAGAGTCGGAATGAACATACGCGCCGTTGGCTGTGACCATGATCTCGCCCGACTCGCTGTGAATAGTCCATACAAAACCGGGGGTTCCATTGAATTGTTGCCCGTTCCTGAAGGCGAAGGACAAGGTAGCACCATCGGCAATACCAACCTTCCATTTAGCCAGCTTTCATTGAACTGCTAGGAGATCTGGTACGTCGGTAGATTTTTCCGTTACCACGGAACCATCTTCCACAATGCATGCGGCTCTGGAAAGACGAGAATTCCCCGAGAACCTCGTGTACGTAGTCGATTGTATGTCCGTAAGCGATCGTGATATGTTTTCCGCCTACTTCCCGATCCGCAAAGTAGGATAGACCCTCCGACACCTTACCTCTAGTTCCTAGATTGCCATAAGCCCGAACGTCGCTGCTCAGTACTCTGCCAATACGCCTCGACTTTAGTATTTCCTTGAGTTCGAGAACAATGGGTGGGACATGCCCCTGAAGTCCGATAATAGTGTTATCGAGGCGTTTCTTCTCCGTCAGAGCGATAGCTTTCTCGTAATCTTTAACCAAGGGCCATTCTATAAAAACAGCCTTGCCAGCTCGTACAGACGGTCCTGTAGATGAGCCATGGGTGTCCATACGAGTGCAGCAGACTACCAGGTCAACATCAGGATCTAAAGCTAGGTCGTTCGGGTCACCGTAAGCTTTCACACTTGAAGGAAGAGCGAAAGATGTTCAAGCTGCTTCCGCCGCAGAAGTACTTGAATTAACCAGAGCGACAATTTGATATTTGGAACTTCCCCTTAGTGATAAAAGGTAAGGGAAATGACCCTGAGCAGCTTAAGAAGTCTTTGTAGACTGCGAAAGTCCGATAAGCACGACAGGAATAGGAGCCATCTTGGTGATCTTGATGTAAACAAGTGTGATAATGATATTTTAAAGTGACAAGACAACACAAAGACACGATAAACCTATGCAAAATGTCATTTCCTTATATCCATACACGCTCTGGCCAAATTCAACGCTCATTAGAAATCACCATGACTCTGGAAATGTAAATGGATGGAAATGACTAACCGACTCCCTTAGTCATTTTTCATTTTAGGCAAATGGTCCTCCTATTCACTACCTAACCCTCCCATACCCTTATCCCAAAAGGACCATCACGCAACGGAACCCGAGAATCGCAACGAGAACGAATGCCTGCTTCCATATAGACGCCTGAGCCAGAACGGAAGCAAAATAGAGGGAAACGACGCTATAAAAAAGACGTCGGAACAGTCGGTTATGCTGATATACCATAGCCGGGACGCGCCTCTAGCAATCCCTGCCCCAGCCCAACTGCCGATTCACCTCGTTCATGGCGCCGACTCCAGCCCTAAATAGATCGAACGCGCCGTCCGCGATGGCGTTACCAGAGTTGAATGCTGGTTCGGGCTCCTGCGCTCTCCTCAGATCCGACTGATCCAGAACCTTCTGCTGCTTCTCCATCACAGCCCTGTAGATAGCGCGCGCCCACAGATTATACCACTGCTCCTCGCTGATACTGACGTACTCCTTCCCACCCCCCTCAGCGGCCCTCGAGAACGGCCACTCCGAAATAGCGACCTCCCACCTCTTCGTGCGGAGCCAGAGATAAGGCCACGCGAAGAGAAACAGCAGCGTGAAGGTGAACAACATCTGTATCCACGACGTAAGCCTCCAATGGTTCGTCCTCGCCTCGTTATACACCTCCACCAGCGAATTCTTCATAACCAGCTCCACCTTCAGGTGTCCGCGGTAATTCGTATTATGAACCAAAGCCCGCAACAGCTCCTTCACGCGCACCTCGTCGAACCCGACCATCGTCCGTTGCAGCGCGAACACCTTCAGCCCGGCGTGGCTGGCGGCGTACCGATGACACCATTCCGTGAGTGTCGGTTTCGGAGCGCCGCCGACTTCGATGCTTTGATTCGTGCCCGGGGCCCGTTTGCGAAATATGGTACCCCGCTTCGCCTTCTCGAAGTTCTCTACCGTCCGCAGCTGGTTCCACGACTTGCGGTACTGCGCGTCCGAGTACAGGTACGGCGTCAGCTCGACGGAGACGTCGAAGTCGACAACGTTGTGTGTTTCGTTCTTGTCCTTGTCGTTGCGCCGCGTCTCCGTGTGCGTTCCGACGAGCTTGATGTAGGGGCGCGGGGGGAACGCAGCCATGGTTCGGATGTGCGATTCGAGCACGAGGGGGTCCTCGAGGCTTTTCGCGATCCAGAATTGCGAGCCGTATTTAACTTCGTTGAATACCTTGCCATCGTCCACCAGGAGCGAGGCTGTCGTAGGTGGAGTGTTGAATAGGGTTGGGGCTGGGATGGGTGGCGGAAGTAGAGATTCGACTTCGCTGTAGTTTGGTGGCAAGTCGTCGGCGGCAGTCTCGGGAGTGTCGAGGTCGTCGTTGTTGATATTGTTCCTAGAGCTCTCGCCTAGGTTCGAGTGTAGCGATAGGGAATCAGCTGCAGCCTTGCCGGCAGGCAGATCTGAGGGTTTACCCATTATTCACAAGATGATAGGATACGACAGAAGATAAATGAGTGAAGCAATTGAGATCCGAGGTAGAGGCGACGGTAAACTAATGAACCTACCTTCTTGATACCCAAGGCTGCTGTTTCAGGGAGGATCTTAGGATCTTACAATGGCAGGTGGGTAGGTGGTCCGAGATTTAAGGAAGAGTTAGAGGGCTGAGCAGCTGAGGCGGGTCGGGCGTTACACGTTACAAAGATCTTAAAGTCCTACTAGGTCTGAGGCGATGGATCCCTGTTACCCAGTCACCACTCCGCCAATCATGGCCATGGCCACAGAATACGGGCGATTCAACCTGACAGCACAAAGAACTTGCAACCCGGGTCCTGCATAGTGGACAAGCATGGGTCATATCTGGCTTTTTCTTCAAGCATCGTAATATGAGTGACGCCTAGGAGATGTTGTGAATACCCTTATTAGTCTTCTCAAGAGACAAAAAGAGGTAAAAAAGAAAAGTCTGATCTCTGAATCTACATGGAAGAGACTGAGAACTTGAGAAGAGACAAAAAATGAGATGTGACAAGAGTGGGACTTGAACCCACGCGGATTGCTCCACCAGGATGTTAAGATGTTAAGGTGACCTTAACCTGGCGCCATAACCAACTCGGCCATCTTGCCTAAGTGATGATGTGAAGACCGGCTTGGTATTGGCCTAGATAACTATGCTGAGGATTTTTTTCAAGCTGATGATTCCTATTGGACAATCCATCCAGCCCTGGCAGAACTTCGGTGGAGGAAGTCTAGCATTCTAGCGCTCACTCACGTTAGCTCAAATTTATTCTAAAAATTTTACATCAACTCTCACATACCTTCTAGTAGTAGTATGTCAAAATAAAAATAATACATTTGTCCACTTTCCTCGTAGTGTAATGATCAGATAAATAGTGAATAGTACATACTCTCAACAAACTAGTCTTGTCATCTGTATATTACAAAGATTCAAAATGAAAAAAAAAATAGAAAAAAAGAAACCAAAAAGATTGCCCAACACAGGAGTCGAACCTGTTGCCTCCTCATTGCGGTATAATCCTTCTCGTATTAATATCCAAGAGGATATACTAGTGAGGCGCTCTACCGGTGAGCTAGTCGGGCCATTTCATTAACCAAATCCACTCGGCGGATTCGAGTTGATGGTCGACTGATGATTTTTTCGCTTGTTAAAATCACTTATATGGTATCCATTGGCCCCAACGCGTCGAACCAAAGAGCTTGAATCCACAGTCCCACTCGCGCAACAGAATCCATCGTGATGATTGTCAATTGGCCCAGCTGTGGGTCACGGAATAAATCTCAACGACAATTGTTCGGTTCCTTCTAGTTTCATTCAATAGCTTGGGAGTAGAAGGACAGGAGTCGCGCAAAGACGCTTACATGTCCACTCAACATAACATATATATCGCTGTTATTAGCATCTAGTCATCTGTGGACGTAAAAATCAACGAGTACAAACATACGACGCGCTATTCTATTAGTCGCGAGGCCGCCGCGTTAATTTTGGACTGAGCATGGCTTGAAAGTTGACACGCTCCATGTTCCGCTCGTCGGAATGAAAATCTTCCATGATTTGCTTCTTTACATGATCAGGTAAATTTTATAGAACTCTGAGATGTTCATTGCCTTACCTATAGAAAAATTTCAGTGATGTATGAATTGAGGACGTGAATTGATACTCGGTTGAGTTCTTGGTCAACTCCAATGTGACCTAGGAACCTAAGGACAACTTGCTAAAGGCCCTTTCTCTCTACGAGCGTTAGTACGCGCAAATATGCGCGCTGCATTGGAGATACAGATCCGGAGATCGGATGCCGGAGCTCCCACGTTGGAGATCATCATCATGAACGATGACATAAGGGGCTTCGACGATGTATATGTACTTATTGGTGAAATTGATATAGTACTTCAGACTTGAAAGCCTCCTTCCGCACCTATCCGCTGTATCAATCCCGATCAACAGTCTGTACTACACCGCGGAAGGATCTTGCTCGCGTATGAGACACGCCTCCGGAACCCGATCCGGTTCTCAGTGCCCGCAGAATCAAAGTGGCATTATTGTAACGTCCGGTTCGCCCTGTTTTCACTGTGCATCCTCTGCAATTGGTGTGACTGTGGCTGCTTGTCCCGAAGGATTTTCGTATGCAGGCAGACGATGAAAAAGCATACCATTCTGCAGCTTAGTGCCAGGGGGTACTTGAAGAGGCCGGGGCGTCTGCTTTTAATTTTAGTAGTACACAGCCAAATCAGGAGAAACTAGCTCTCTGGAAACTGCAACAAGTGTTATACGATTCAACTAGAGCCCTATCTGGAAATGTAATAGTGTTTGCCCTCCTATAGCCATCTAAGCTAGAGGACCCTGGATGAAAATGCCGATGTCTACCTACCTTAACATCACTTCTTCTCCTTCCCCTTGATATGATAGCTACCTACCTAGGAGCATCTCAATGGAGACTAGCAGTAGCAATAAAGGTCCGAATGATTTAGTTCGATTTCCTGAATCATCCGCATATTTCAGCTATCACAGGAATTTGCCACCGACTATACTTCCTCCATACTTCGTGCTTCAAGCCACGTCATTTAAGTAAAACCCAATCAGATTTATAACTCTTGGGGTCTAACCGCATAGATAAAAGCAAACATGAAAGCATAGCCACAAAATATACTGTTACAGATGTAGACCCTACGTTCGATTCTATGTGCATATGCCGGCCTCTGTGTATGAATTCATGCACCCATATATTTACGATGGGGATATAGATATTAAAGTAATGGTATGTGGGTATTAAACCCATTGTTCACCATGTAGAGAAGTCACGTTGACTCCTCTTCGTGATCATTTCTGTTATGATGTAGATACCTATTAGGTATTCCGAGATGTGTATAATCTTCATAATCTTCTCAACTGAAGGATCTTCGTAACATACCTAGTCCTTCAAGGCCAATTCAAAAGTCCCGGTCTAATATAGTGTAACGTAGTCACGAGTATAGACAAGACCTCATCTCGCCGTCCCAAAGGATGCAATTCAGCATTATTTGGAGATCCTAAACATACTAAACTCCAACACATACCGAGTTTTCTCCTAGACGAAGCCGCGAGTCTATACACGGTCAGACAAGAGGGTATACGTGCATAGCCTAATGATCGTAGGGTTGCCTACTCAGGAAATCCCTAAGCACCAAACATGATACATCGCCGGGATATGTGCAAGCTTGGTGCAGCGCATTACTCGACCCTGTTCCGTGGGTGGCTTCTGGGTCATCGCAGGTGTAACGGCAGTTGCATAGACTCTAGAACACTATGTCATCATACATCTAGCTACTGGATAGTTATAGCCCGAAGTCGTATGCATACACCATTATATTTTATATATTTTAGGAACGCATATGTGATGAACAAGGAAGGAGTCAATGGGCGCTTACCTGTCGAGATCCTAAAGGGAATATGTGTTGCTATAGTCTGCGAGCGGCCAACTACGGAATCTATAGGTATGTCTCATATGTGTTCGAGACGCGAACAGATCTACTACCGCGATGCCTAGGGTGGTCTTGGTTAGGAATCCAGCTCAACGTGGGGGACAGCGTTTCTGTATGGTGCTTATTGGTTAACCGAGCATGCATGCTACACTCCTTCCCATCCATGGATGTCTCGCAGAGTACCATGCTTGGTATCTCATGTATGTTCTAGGCAGCATCCACATAGTAGGTAATATAGAGCTGTCTTGTAATAATATCAACACAGTCATGTTGACCCAGAGAATTGCCGCGAGAACCCGCTCGCCCATCGTGAAAATGTAGATTCAGCTTTGATTTAGTAATATCCGTTGCTAATACACTTCAATCATCTCAATTCCCTTTTCGTGGGGTCGGCGAAGTAAGAGTAAGGGGGCTTAGACTTTAGGACTTGGGGTGAGGGGAGGGAGGACCATCCAGAAGAAGAGAGACCAGTGCGTTTTGTTCATCACGATGACGATCTGTCGGTATAAGTAACGGAACAGGTTGAAAGCAATCCGGGCTATCCTGGACTCTCATAGGTTCGCCGCATGGTTCCCAACTAAACCGTCTTAAAGGGTATGTGCTACTCTGACTAGGGTTCTATATTGGCTCTGGATCCGAATTGGCCGGAAAGAACAAAATCACGGGTTATTGTTGCAGTACGAGACGTGAATTTCTCCAATTTCCCCTCGTCGAGAAGACGACCGTGCATCTGAAGTGCGTCTGAAGTAGTACAGGGAGGATTGTCTTGTACCAAAATTTCGTCGGCAGTTCAGAGACTTGATATTGGAAACGCCCGGCTACGCGTCGCAGATCGACTCGATCTGGAATCCTGGAAACGGGGAGCAGGTCGTCTCTCGCCGTCCCCTGCTGACGGTGGAGGTTTGGGATCGAGGAGTTAGTATCAATTAGCGTGCCTTAGATTCTTGATCGACTCCCATGTTTCTGGGGAAGATTGGCGTGGAGAAAACGGTCTGGCCGTGTCGAGGACGAGAAGCTGCCAACCCTACGAAGAAGAACTATGTTGGTCAGCGGAAGGGTCAGCATCGAACGCTAAGGTACGGCATGGAGGCTATTGGCTCGAACTGCGCATGCAGCGTGCTGCTCTTGGATAGGTCTGGGATAGTTGCTAGGTAACTAGGTAGTTATAGACCCAACGACTCAAAACGAACTATAATATCCGCCTCGAAAACTGCGGGGAAGCAGGGGCTGGATATAGATTGACGGGTATTTGACCTCACGGTCTCCTCCCCCGCATTTTGGTATCCGTCTTGCATACGAGGTCCATCTGCTAGTGGCCAATGAGGATGGAGGCATACGCAAAGCAACCTGGGGTAGCAGACTAAGAGACACAGGGGACAGGGGTAGGGCGACCACAAGGCTGTGAAGAAACAACATCCCGAGCCTCACCGAGATACGTGCTGCTGGGCGACAGCACACTAGATACTTCTTACATCCGTAGACGACAATCTGAGCCGGCAACCGTGGATCGAATATCACGGACGTGCCACGACAGGTGACGTGGATGAACTAGAACTTAGTAACACTTAACGTAGGGCATCGTAGAGTGCCGAACCTGGTCGTTCCAGATCTGGTTGGATGATACCTCTCGCTACACGTTTGGGAACTTGGGATTTCCTGGGCTTCCTTGGATTTGGTTTTCCATCTTATCCGAACAGCTGTCTCGGCTGGAGTGACATATGCAGATGTGTTGCATCGCTTGATATCAGATGACCTCGACAATGAGTTGGCATGCCTGTAGAATAGATACTGGGATAGAGGGGCCGTTGGGGGATTCTAACTAACAGTCAAGCCTGAATGCACCCCTCATCCCGAGTATTTGTAGATCCAGCCCTCCCGTCATTCCACAAAGCATAAGAACGCGACCGTCCTCCACAGAGTGGTTTCACAACATGTTCTCCAAGATTTTCGGCTGGGACCAGAAACAACAAGACGATATGAGCCCTTTACCTGAGGAATTTGATATTATTGTGTGCGGTGGTGGTAGTTGCGGTTGTGTGGTAGCAGGACGGTATGTCTTCACCCTTTGATCAAGGCTATGTGCAAGATATCTTGTACTGACTCTGAGCAGTCTGGCAAATTTGGATCATAACTTAAAGGTTCTCTTGATCGAGGCTGGCGAGAGCAACCTCAACAACCCATGGGTGTTCAGGCCGGGGGTTTACCCCCGTAACATGAAGCTGGACTCGAAAACGGCATCTTTCTACGAAGCTCGCCCGTCCAAGCATCTTTCCGGTCGAAAGGCGGTGGTTCCTTGCGCTCACGTCTTGGGAGGCGGATCTAGTATTAACTTCTTGGTAAGTGAGGACTTCCAATGTTCAGCGAATTTGAACCTAAGACTTCTTAGATGTACACGCGCGCTTCGGCTTCGGACTACGACGATTTCCAGGCCAAGGGATGGAAAACCGAGGACCTTCTTCCGCTCATGAAGAAGCACGAGACCTATCAGCGAGCGTGCCATAACAAGTTAGTATTAGAAATAGGCTCCCCTTAAAAAGACGAGACTAATTGGTCAAGGGACGTCCATGGATTTGAGGGACCGATCAAGGTTTCGTTCGGAAACTAGTAAGTAATGGACCGTACTT